AAAAAATTGGTTAATAAAATCCGATTTTCTTATTAATATTTTAATAAGATTATCTTATTAATAATAAGATGGATCTTATAAACTTTTTAATAAAATGGCGATCTTATTAATAATAAGATAATATGTTAATAATATCGTAGAATCTTATTAATCTAATAATATGTTATGTTTGAGTTATTAGAAATTTTCCGATATTTTGGTTATTAACATATTAATAACATATCGAAAATGTAAAACTATAACCGATTTTGCTCGATTTTCAAATGGAAATGTAAATGCTCGTCGCCATGTGTGCTTAACGCTCTGGTGATTGCTTATTATGCGCATCATTTTTAGTTGAGAACTATTGAATTAAGCTTTTCTAAGTAAGTGTTCCAATCGCACACATGCTTGAGTGGCAGAAAATTATTAAGATTGCTAAGAGGCCATTCGTCGGAACGTTTTATGTGGGTGTGTGCTAACCCGATTTCTAGGTATTTAAAAAAAACACAATCTGCAATTTTCTTAATACCATCTTCAAGAGCTAATGTGCGTAACTCATAACGCCCCAATGAACTTGACAATACCACATAAATATTCTTCTGGGGGTTTTCTTGGAGATACGCAACACGAATCTCTGTTGTGATGCATCAGCAATATGTGTAGACAATCGGCTTTCGGCCGAGCATTGTAAATGTACCATCTTGTACATAAATACTATTGTTGTTCAACCCCAATATTTGTCTGTGGAAACGATGCGTACCGGTATTCATTTCGCCAATAAAATGCGATTATTTTCACTCTTCATTGTGATTAGGTGTCATAAACGATCCGGTTATTCATAGTATGGGATTAAAAATGGAATGCAATACACGTCGCTTTATGATCGACGACAAGCGTGAGCTTCAGTATCGTGTCGAGGTGCAAAATCGTGTGTATAAAAAGGAGTTGGCAGCGCTGGATATTGAAATTGGAAAATTGGAAAAGTTACTCGAAACGCCGTCGTCAACATCATCGTCTGACCTATCGATACCACGACTCATTAAACACGAATTGGCTGTGGTAAATGAGGAAAATGAAAAATCATCCACGTCAAGACAACAGCGTGCACCAAGCATCGGTGGTGGTCTACCGCTGTTGCTTCTGTCGGTTCTACCACCTGTGATTCCACGTGCCAGTTGGCCATCGGCTGACATGGGCAATAACATGATGCGAAAGTCGGTAACATTCAGTTCACAGCCGCAACTCGAGGACGAATCTTGTGTTGCACGTTTGCCAGCCATTGATTTATTACATTTGCGTTTAACACATCAGCAGGCAACGGCCGATGCGCGAAAGGGTCTCATCGATCGCATCATCGGTAAGTAGTTATTGTAGGTAGAGCATGGTACCGAAATTGTTACCATGCCAACGCAATCACTGAATATACTGTGAAAAAACCTCTCAAGATATCGGAGATATTTAGACTTGTGATTGCCTCTGGTTCAATTTAAATTGCATCGTCACCAAATCAAAACAAACACATGCACCCTGACAAATTGGCAAGTAGAAAACGGTAGAGTTTGATTAGAGCAAAATTTTTCCCATTTGTGTAGGTTTTTTTGGTTCAAAACCACCAAGTCGCAAAGCTTCAACATCCTCAATTGCAGGAGGTTCGTCCGGCATTGCAGCCGCACTCAAGGTGCATATGGGTCTTTTTTCCAATATCGTGCCAGCAGCATCATCAGCATCATCATGCAATGCCATTGATCGGGCCGGTATGTATCCGTTGCGTAAAATGTCAATTGCACGCAGCGGAAATGCCATCAACACAAGGTGCTCGTCAATTACATACGATCCACCGTTTCGTGAGCGAAGCATAAACTTACCGCCGCCACCACCATTTATCATAAGCACCGAATCCGATTCGACAAACACATCGCGCAAAAATATTTACGTTGACACGGAGCACGAGCCAAAAGTGAATTTTTATTTACCATTAGGTCGTCGTGCATCGATTCTAAACCAGCCAACTTTGAGAGAACGTGTAAAGGGTTCACCACGATTTCCACATCGCATCGCGCCAACAAGCAGTTTGAACGCACTTGTTGAAAGCACCGAAGCATCAGGTAAACGACGACACGACACTCAATCATTTGTAATTTGTTGTAAATTCTCACAGATAATGACTACAAAATTTGTTCATTGCATAAACGGTTCTTCTCCTATTTTATCCTATCGTCTTGCCTCCGGAACGATGTATGTTCGCGTTCAACAGGTGCCAGCAGCAGTAGCAGCAAATCAAAATGGAAATCAATGGAGGATTCAACAATGTTTGCCTCAAGTTCGACATCGTTTAATACGAGCAACTGTTAAAATATGTGCATCATAAAACTCTCTTCCATTCTCCCTTTTTCTCTCTCTAACATACCCAAACTTCCTCCGCCTCTCTGTCCGTCTCTCCCTTTCGTCTCTTGAGCACTCACCCGTCCTCGAAGCAAACGAGACTCATAGTCGAGCAGTAGTAGTAATCCGCAGCAAAAACATCGTACGAAAAATTAGTTTGAAGCAGAAAAACTTTTGCGGTGGTTAAACGAATTGTGAACGGTAAACGAAGCGAAAAAAAGGCGAACTACGAATGCCAATACGTGCATTCAACAAACGGTAAACACCATAGTTATACACAGTGAATAACAAGCATAGGCACAGCTACAGCCACAGTCACACGAATACAGTCTTTGAACTTGATATTTTGTTTTACAATCTGATTATAATCTCACAAAAACCATCAACCACACTGAACCGCTACCGCTCTATCCGTCTCCGATTTGTCTATCGATCGCAGGCAGACAGGCAGGCATACACAAACACATACAATAATTAACTGAGTATGCAAACTGAAAATTGAATATGTGCGAAAAGCATGGGCTTGAATTTCGTATCCAGTCGGTATTGTATTCGGTATTGACGACGGTAAAACATGCATCTGTGAATCCGGTTTCATATTCATCCATTCTCGCGCTATTTTCAATCTCTCTCTCCTTCTCCATTAGTTCACTATTTTCCAAACAGCAATTGAAAATTGTAAAGTTTTAGTAAAAGCAATTATTATTGTTATGAAAGCAATGACAATTACAACCAGAACCATTCCAATTGAATTGGAATCGATTTAATATCATTTTTCAGAAACTTTTGGCAATCATTACAATCCAATTAAGTGAATCAAAATTTGTGCAGCTAATTTTAAAAGTAATTTCTATAATTTATGCAATATGTGCGAGAAAACCGAACACATCACCCACACATATACTCACCTATTCATATACATTCCAAATACAATGCAATGCAATGCGTATTGCATGCGACAAGATAAGGGTAATTCAGTAGAAGAATTTTGTGTAGCGTAATTATTATTCGATTGAGTAGGTATTTAAAAAAGCTTTGAATTTGACCTGAATCGGTTTTTCGATTCGAACTCGTATGTTGAACGGGGTTTTGTGAAACATGAAACAAAAAAAATACACTTTCTCTCTTTGGTTTTCACCATCACCCACCAGCATCAACATCATCTCGTGGATAAAATATGTGAGACTGAAAACGCGATTTTTCTCTTGATATGTGGTAAATAAAATTTGGGATTATTTTTTAGCATGCGTACACATCGAAACTAAGATGCGACATGCACTCAATACGCGGATTGAAAGCGACGAAAGAAGAAAATCCAAGCGGAAAATGAACATAATATGAAACCATCATTTTTTCACGAATAATTAACTGTCTTTGTGTACATGTGTGTTCTACATTCCCGAAACACCCATTGAAGCTTTCAACCCAAACGTATAAAATATTCAAGCATCATAAATAGCTCATTGAAAACGTTGAGCATCATATTAGAGAAAAATAAGCAAGAGAAAACTTGTATTGAACATAACAATAGCAATTCAACATTTGTGTACATGATGAAAAGAAAGAGAAACATAAAAAGAACAGAATAAAAACTCTATTTATTGTATTAGCGGGATCAAACAAATGAACGTTAAAAGCCAATTTCTTTAGAAATATGAATAAAATCCATCTGAAAATGAGAAAGATTTCGTGTAGTTTCTTTTTCTCTCTTCACAGTTTAGCTTTTCTTCAGTACCACATTTCATTGAGGTTTTATTCCCTCGTTTTTTCTACCACTGCCAACTTGGCATGCGAATGGCGTGTACGTGTTTGCTAAGGAATTGGTGTGGATTATTGGTGTAGAGATTATAAATTTAAAATATGTCGCCAAGAATTTCCAAACCAACATGCTGCACAGTCGCAGTTTTATTTGCCATTGACAAATCATTTAACCGCGAAACTCCATTATTTGCCATTCAATTAGTTATGAATACCATTTGTGTACAAAAATGGGTGCTGATTTAAAACCACAAAAATGGAATGTAAACAAAGCGACGCTCAGTTGCAGTCGAAACCACCGGAATCTGGTGAAAAGTCATTGAATTGCCAAAACGAAAGCTCAACAGCGTTGCATTGAGCTTTCTTCCATGGGTGTGCAAAGAAGCGAAGAGGTTGCAAAAAAGGAAAAGTTTTACCAACCGTTTCGATGGAGTTGATTTAGATTTTGGCGCAGCCATAGTATTTGCTTTAACATTAACTTCAAATTTCATGGATGAAAAGACAAAGCACTTAGTGTTGTATGCACTGCACAAACGATGCTTTCCATAATAATGTGACACAACAAAACAAGACATTTTCTGACGAAAGTGGTTTTGTAAAAGGGGACAAGTGAAAAGTGAGCAAAACAAAAAATATGAACGGAAAAAGGAAGAAGTTAGTTGGAAAAGTTCATTTTTCTTTGTTGAAAACTTTCCTATATGCTTTGCATGTTCGGAGACGCACAGAGACAGAGAGCGAGAGAATGACATTTTATTTCCATGGAATTCGCATCGGCATGCTGTCGGGGCTCGTCTCAACGAAGCCGATTCGCATGCAAACACGAAACATATTAATAATAATCCCACTTAAGGCGTATATATGGTGCTTCGATGAGTTTTGAAAACATAAACCTATTAATGTACCGCTACTTAAGCACACATTTCGAATCGATTTTCGCACTCATAAAATGGTGTGTATGCCGTGTCAACCACGTTGAACTGTAGAGAACGCTTAAAAAATAGAGATACGTACACCCCCTGAAATGACAACAAGCCATGAACTGAAATTGAGAAACGAAACGAAATTCCACACTCTAGCTACAACAACATTCAGCCATAGTACGAAACAATGGAACACGATCGAAATAACCTACGGAGATATTTGACCGCAATATCAAACACCAAAAATGTTTAGCCTTCTAGAGTTGAGATAGTACCACGATAGAAAAACACACTTGATCGACATTGTCGACTACATTTTCGGTGTATATTTCTCTCTTTCACAAGTGCCATGCGATGTGTTTGTGCTTCCCCCGCTCTATATACTTTTTTTATTGTAGAACGACGCGCACAGATTGCTCGGTTGATGGAGCGTTAGCGTCTCTGTTATCTCTGGATAGGTTTGTGTGTTCTGGGCAATAAAAACCTTAATTGAAGGTGTTTAGATTTACATTTAGATGTGTTTTCCGATGCGTATTAGCTTCATGACTCTATGAGCAGCATCAAAGTGACATTTTTGCTATTCGCATTTACCATCATACCCATTTGCTGTTGAGCATGAGCTACTACTGCTGCTACTGCTACTGATGTTGTTGTTGTTGGAGTGAGACCCATAACAACTGAACTGATATAGGCATATATTGGTATGCTATAATGTGGTATGTGCTGAAGTTGATCTGACAACAAATGGTGGTGTGAGAAAGAGAGACATTCGTACTTGAGCATCGTACACCGCTAATATTAATTCAAATCGAATAAAACGCTATAATTTGAAACACACTCACTTTTTGCTCTTGCCTTTGCTCTGACTCCCACTCACTCTTACTCAAACCACCACCCGAATTTGATTGAATCCAACGAACGAAACAGAAGTACAACATCAAATCCCTTTTGACCCGAGCAACGAGTAATCATTGTATGTCATAATATTTGACATTGGTGCGAAGAAGCATTTTGGTTGGAAGGCAAATCGATGAAAAAAAAAACGCACGTGAAGCGGGCAAACCAGAGAGCAAGCGAATCAAACAGAACAACGCTACGTCAAAAAGATAAAAGCGATAGAAAGACAAGTTTAGATGAAAAGATAAAAGATGCGTACAGCAAATATTGGTTTGACTGGTTCGCATCAGTTGTTGGCTGTTGTTGTTTTGTGCGTGGTGTGCCCTCATCTGTTGTGTTCACTCACTCGCTTGCTTGCTCGCTCACTCTCTCGTTCGCTTGGGTGCGGCTTTTTGTGTGTGAACTTGAATTTTATGTCTGTACGCTTTTTTTCCTCTCTAAATTCAGGCCATAGAGCGGTTTGCATTTGGGCTCGCTCGTTGGTTGTTTGATGGAAGCGACAAGCAAAAATGTGGACAATAAAGCGAGAACAAGCTTATTTCTGTCATTTCAGCTATATTTCAATGTCGACACGATGTGCCACTCCATTTCAAGTGGTTCGCTGCAAATTTTTACAAAGTACTTTATGTTCTCTATTAACATCGTCATCCCGTCATGCTGGATGCTCAAGATGCGACTGAACGAGAGAAAGAGATAGAGAGAGAGAGAGAGAGAGAGAAAGAAAAAGAGCAGAAGATCTTCCGCGCGAGCGGCCCTTTGTCGTCTTTGTTGTTTCAACTTCCCATGCAAGCGGGGCAAAGCAATGAAGCACAGATGGAACTTAATTGAATAAAACAGCACGAAATGAATGACACGCAAAGCATCGCCGCTTCACAAGCCATGTTCTGTGCTCTCAGATGTTTCTTCAATTTTTAATTTTTATTTTAAGCAATTTTTCTTCCATTTTCATCACATTGTATTTTCCTTGAACTTAATTTGTTTTCAAAAGAATAAGAGCGCGGCATTGGGTCTCTCTGATGTTTGAATGAAGCCATTCAAGTCCGCTTGCTCCACCGCTACCGCCGACATCGTTATTTTCGTCAACTATAACCCATCCTTTACAGCCCTAGTTCGGGGAAGCGAATGGAAAAAGCACTGAATTTCACAATTTATGGCAAATCTTGGTGAAGAGCGCCCGTAATATTTTATCATAATTACATTTGTTATTGTTTGCCTTGACGAATTCATTGGATTTAATGCTTCTTTTACTGGCTGTTCAGTGTGCTCACTTCATCGTTCGTATCATTTTCTCTTTCGTTCGTTGATTTTGTTACGCTAGATTTCCATGCTTCTCCTTCTTCTTATTCTTCTTCTCTTTCATCATCATCATCATCATCATCATCATCGTTTGTGTGTGTTTTTTTATTCTCTTTCGCTGCGCTGTTTTTGTTTTCAACTTTTTCCCTTTGATATTCCATTCAGAATTATTTTGACGATGCGCGCACACAACAACGCGTCAATATCTCGTTATACTAAAAATAGTTTGCAATTGTTTTTGTTTTCGGAAGGCGAGAATCAAAAGAAAAGACATCGAAAAGAGATATGATGATGGTGATGACGACAAAATTGACGATGTCGAAACGGCGACAACTAAACAAACGAACTCATTTCAATATCCGTGGCAGTTTCCTACAGCAGAATCTAATTATATCAGTTTCCGTTATTCGTGATCGTATGCGCTCCTCTCTCGCTCTCACTCTAACTCGTTTTGTGTGTGTGTGTCGGTTATTATTGAACATTGAAACGAATCGAACACATCTTCCATTCCAAATAACAATACACACGTTCCTCGTTCCTCCCACTGTCGGCGCTGCTTGGGGGAAAGAAAAACGGCATAATATGGTACTATCTCTCTCGCAATTCATTTGTGTAATGTTGCGCTGCTGTGTTATTCTATGCCAAACTGGGCGACTGTGGTTGTGATTGCTGTTGATGCCGTCGCTGCTACCGTCTGACTTTCTTTAGTATGTATACTTTTTGACATCCCCGTTTTTGGCTACACCGCACGCATCAAAATAAGATCTATGTTGTTCTCTTTCACCATATCACACACGCACACGCACACATACAAACACATTTGATTTCGTATTTTCTTTCATTTGGATTTCGTTTTTTGGTTTTTGTTTCGCTTACGCATTACAACGGTTCCTCATAATAAGGGATGAATGTGATGTTGTTATGTTTGGGTTGTAACAATTTTGATGAGCATTACACCGAACATTCGACGAAAACAAGCACACATGAGATGGCCTTAGTCCAAATCCAAGTAATCGCACGCATCGTCATTCTTCGAAGACAAAATCGAAGCTCAGCAGGAAAAAAAAGAAGTAGAAAAAATCAGCCGATGAACCAGAAGGCCACTTTGTTGTTTCGTGCGCGTAACACAAAGTTATGACAAATCTTGTAACAAAAATATCATTATCACCGCATTTATTACATTTGGTGGCAAATCACAAAATTGTGAATTTTGATTTAATTTGTTATAATATTTATTTTTCCCATCGGATTATAATCGTCAGTGCGCATATGTATTACATAATTGAGTTAACCCGAAAAATAGTCGTCGACGATCCCAAAATGCACCCACCACACATACACCACACCATTCCATCGTCGTACACATTCAACTTTATGTTGCGCCACTTTCTCCGTTCCGCTCAAGTAGTCGGTTGCCTATTTATACTACTGATGTTTGTGCCATTGTGCCATCAACATCATTCTCTACAGAGCAACACACGGATACAGAGAGAGAAAGAGAGTGAGTGAGTGAATGTGTTTTTTGAGGGCCACCCGCTCTCCCATTACACTTATTCGGTCGAAGAGTGGCACTGAATTCTAATCGGCTGGCGCATTTTAACAGCTCTTGCAAGCAAGTAAATCAAACTTACTTTTGCGAAAAGAAGAACGAAGAATTCTACGGAAAAAGATGGAAAAATTATATTAATTCCCCAATTGGTTTTGGTTGGAATAACTTTCAGGTGAACATTCAATTCCGAGAAAAATTTCCCATTTAACCAAGTATTTTCTGCCAATTTTTAATAGGTTTTTAGTTAGGAAAAGTTAAAATAACTCCGCAGTTGTTCGTAAAATAGCCAAATCGATTTGGGAAAATCCCATCAAGCGGAATTGGGCGGTCGCAAAAATGGTCACCCTAGCACATATTCATACATCATACACGCACGTACGAGACAAATCATCCATGGGACACATAGCGAAAGTGACAAAATGGAATCGAGAAAAAGCCACATCGCACCGAATAAAATTGAAATCGAAAGGAAAAAAAGCGAGCGGCATACGTAAGCGGGCGAAAAGAGAGAAAAATAAAAATGGAGCGTGGAGAAATAGTTGCCATTGTGTACTGTAAATAATCGATTGCCATAATACATCTGTGTGACTTTTATGACATTTCGACTTTTCTAAGTGTATGATTTGGATTTTCGTTTTGGTCTCGTTTTTCTCTTGTTCTGTCCCTTTGACAACGGCATAGTTGCTGTGACTATGTATGCTTTTTTGTTGCCCTGTTGTATGTTATTCCGTTTTATATTTGGGCTTTGGTGACGGAGATGAGCATTGTGTATTATATATTATGGTCATTTCGGCTGTTGTTCTATTCGATGTTCGATGCTTTTTGTCACCATCCCATTTTAATTCAGTTTTGTTTCGTGTGTTCCTAAGGACCATCATCCAATCGAGCCAAAATGGAGAGTTGCAGAGAGAAAGAGACGCAAACAGCGTCGAATGGACACGAATTCCGAATATTATTGGACATTAGTATTCGTTATAGTAACTCATCTCAATAACATTATGTTTTTTTTTCCCTTGGTCACCATTTTGAATTTACTTATCGAAAAATATGATAGCAACGGACTGAAAATGTGCACACAGACAAGTGTACACGGCATTTGAAATCAGAGGGAGTGAGCAGTTTATAGACGAAAAACGAAATTTTTCGATGGAACGTAAAATGCGGCGAATCTCTTTTCGTTTCCCATAAGAATAGCCCGTTGTTTATGTAGGATGTTGATGAATACAAAGCGAGAATAAAATCTGCAATTGAGCGCTATCCTCCGAAGTCGGCCGTCGTCGTCGTTCGTCTCTTTCGTCTCCATTCCATCATCATTTCTTTAACATGAGAAATGAAAACGAAGAAGTGAAGGGAATGTCGACGTCAACTGGATTCGGCTGGGGCCCACATGTGTGAACGACTGCTGTTTAGATGATTTTGCCTCCATAATATGCGAATGTGTCACGATGAGATTTGGCATTCACCAATTCAACACATGAAAATGAAAAGTTGTTTGCCATTTCGCGAATGCTATTCCGTTTTTTTCTCTCTCGTACTCCAGGCCCCCTTCCACTCATTCTATCGCCCAATATAATTCATGTGTGCATGATAGAGAATAGAGGAAGCGAAAGCCGTATTTATGGGCCTCTATTCAGCATGAACTCGAGAAAACTAGATCTATATGCAAACAGTTCTCGAAAATGTCGAAGAACGCCGTAGAAGCAGTTTCGGTTTGGCTGGTGCCCCCCAAAATGATCCAGCCGAAAGGAAGCAAAAATGAATCGAAATGAAATGAAATCGGAATAACTGTAAGCCTAGTGCTTTATGCGTATTAATCTAATGGTTCACATGTTTGTATGCGTTGCAGAAATCCATATTATTGCTTTTAATACATGTTCAACTTCTCGAGGAAAAAATAGCAGGAAAAAATCATCCATCCATCCATCCGCACAAGTGTGTGCACAAAAAAAAAATAACGGTTTAGAATGCGAACTGCGAGAGCAAAAGGCGAAGCCGAGAAAAGAATGGCTGCAGCCATGGTGAGTAGAAAAGTAGAAGAAAAGGAAGAAAAAGCGCTCGCCATAGGAAAGTAATGTCGCTTAATGGTAGTAGCACAAGCAAAAGCGTTGTGCAAGGCGCGTTCAATCGACGTTATGTGAGGCCAAAGAGATCGAAAAGAGATTGAAATCATCAGAGAAATAGAATGAAATTGCTCAAACAGAAAAATAATAAATCTTTAACCCCGAACGATTTTCTTACATTCGGATAAATTTCCAGTTGACTGAGTTTTGTGTGAAGATTTTGTGCGAATTTTCGTTTTATCGCTATCGCAGCGCTATTGATACTATTGATACTGACATTGATGTTGTTGGTGATATTGTGTAGCCGCCGCCTTTGTAGTTGGCTCTTCCATCTCGCTCACTCACTCACTCTCTCTCTCTTATTTCCCCCTTTTCCTTTCGCATCGTCGATCGTCCACGTAACTGTGGACTCATTCCTTCCACGCATGAAACTAACAAATCGTAATCGACACTATATTTCTTTTCAGTCAGCTCACTCTTTGTTTCTCTCCTTTTCCTAATCTCTTTCCCCCTCTATGGCTCTCCCGCTCACAGCATAATGCATATCAGCAGCAGAAGTGTTTGTTATTGGCCTCATTGTATACGTTAATGTCGTTCGTGTTTTCGTGCATGCAAGATTTCCACATGTGTTTACATTACTTACCATTATCCTGAATCGAAATCGAAAACTATGGACTCGAATCGCACTCTAACTCGCCACACATTGGCCATTGGTATGCCATACACATACACCAGAAAGCGCAAAGTGCCGTCTCAACTAAAGTGTTGCAATTATTATTGTTATTATTAGTATTGCGACTGCTGCTGCTGCTGCTAGTGCTACTGATACTGATACTGCTGCTGCTGCCACTGTTGCCGAATGTATTCTCCCTTTCTCTTGCTGTTTAAATTATTTTCGATGTCGGTCCGTTATTCGTATCATCAACTAGATGCGTCAACAACATTACAATGTGGAAAAAAGTCCAAGTTTTTGTGTTGTCGATAATGAAATCACAACGAATTCAATATATTACACCACAATTCCTTCGAATGACGACGCACACGGAATACAAACAACAATTTTCTATTTAGTATTGAAAACATACACAATCCAATTGTGTTACACCCCGCTCGACCTTCCTCTCTCTCTCTCTCTTGCTTTCTCCCCCTCTCTCTCTTTTTCTGTCTCTTGCCTCCGGTTCGCATTTCGTCGTTGTCGAATGCCCGAGAAATTTCTTGGCAAAAGCATACGACATTCACGTTCGAAACACAACCAAACTTTTATTTTTGTTAGCCGTTGTTTCAATGTTTGGTTGCGCCCTTTTGTTTCACTATCTTCGATGCCATTATGTACTCCATTTTCCCTCTCGTTCGTTTCTATCGGTTGACTAGAGAGAAGAGTTTTTTTGTGTCTTGTTTCATTGCGATTGAAAATCCTTCGAAGAACAAATGCACAAACTTTGTTGAATTTTGTTTTGTTTTTCTTATGGCTGTAAACCGATGGAGTGTCGGAAACGCATGGAGCGAGTGTCGAGAGTGTGAATTGAGTAAAAGTGGTAGTGGCCGGTTGCTTGTTCAAACGCTGACAATGACACTATCACCAAGCTAAGAACCAGAAAGTAGTCGTTCGTTCCTTCGTTTGCTCTTTACAATCCGCACAAAAAAAAAGAAATACACACACCGACTAAATTTTCCCACAGTTCGCCCATAGCGAATGTTGGCTCGGCGGAAGATTGAGAATGAAACCAATATTGTTCGAATGTGTCGAATTCCCGCAAAATGCCAAGAACAACACACTTACTAAATCAGGCCATACCAAATGTATAATGAAGCAACTGAAATGGAAATAAACCCAATGTTATTGAGTAGTTTTGGTTAATATTTATAGCAGATAAAACAGAATGCTAGAAACACACGAAACACATGGCCCAAATAGGATTCAGAAAGGCTTTTGGGTTGTTTGCTATCTCGCATCATGTTTCGGGTCCTCATTCCATTCCTCTCTCTATCTCGCTCGGTTCTATCGGTATCTATTTTATTTTTCGGTGCTTTTGCTTCGTTGTGTGCCGTCAAATGGGCAGAGAAAGAGAGAAAGATAGAGAGGGAGAGTTAGTAAGTGAGTGTGGTCGTGCCCGTTTTTCGTTTATGCGGCCCAAACGCGTTAGCATCGGTATGCTAATGTCTTGCGACTTTTAGTATTCCTCATTGAATGAGATAAATGGTCAACACTTCACTGCAGGCGATACCAGAAAATCGTCCATTTTAAATTATTCGCACATCACATCACATCACGGAATTTTTGGCCATTGTTGTGTTTGCATTTGTGGCTATTCAATTCAGTTCAGTTCAGTTGAATTCAGTTCAATTTGAGACATTGTACGAGACATCGAATGGGATACTCTCTCTAGCTGCGTTGTTTGAGCCATTCAATTTCGGTGCGGTAGCAATGGCTCTTCCGTGGAAGTGATTTGTTCGAAATGAAATGGTGCGATATCAATGGCGAAAATTGAGATCGGAATAAGACGAAAGTAAACAAATCCGCACCACAAATGTATTTATATTATTTATATATATATATATATATGTATATATATATATGTATATAGATACATTGTGTAATGTGTAGCTATCTATCTATCTGTTTGTGCACCTCAAAGTAATTCACTCCAACTTTTCGTTTATTAGAGAACCGAAAGTGGAGATTTTCGACAAACGAAAATGAACAAACAGATGCGCTTGCATTGAGTACAATTCGTTGAAATAAGCAATTGATCCATTCGAGAATATCTTCTTTTCACTCTCGACTCTCCTTTCTCTCTCCTCTGCTCTCTTCTCGTTCTCATCGTCCGTTACCATTCTGCCGTTTGTTGATGCCAAACTCGAAACGAAAAAGCACAGAAATAACGATTAAGTAATGCGAAATAGCCACTTACTGATAACAGCTCACAACAACAATATTACTTCTACTCGTGCTGCCACTGATGCTGATGTGCTCGGCTACGAAGTATCTCAAGCAGCGGCCGAAAATATAAAATATTGAAACAAATCTAGGTGCACGGGCGAAAAAGAAGCACGCAACAAAAACCGATTCGGACTTGAAGCGAACGGCAAAATCGGAAGAAATAAAATAAATGGAGATAAAAACCATTTGATTATCTGATTCAAGACTCAATATTAGTCGACGTTTTTATGTACTTACACTTGTACAGTTCTCGTCTTCTGTGTGACGGTCTACGTAGTCAACGAGTGAACGAATGGAAATGGAGAAATGTGTCTCACTCTTGCTTGCTCTCCCGTTTTACTCGGGCCACGGCGAGCTTGAGCACATCGTAAACTTTGTAGCACAATGAATGGCGTGGCACGGTGAACAAAGCGAAGCGACAGAAAGATAATTTTGCCCCGAATAGTGTCAACATACCGACTACCTCCCCTCTTGCTGTTTCCTCTACGTTGTTTTTTCTCTCTCTCTCTCTCTCTCTCTCTCTCTATCTCTCTCTCTCTCTCTCTCTTTCGCATGAACGCATGCATAGTATACATCGATTTGAGTAAATGTGAGCACAAATAGCGCCTTTGTCTTCGCAAAACAAATCCAATTAATCTTTCGTTTCGAATGTCGTTTTTTGTTTTTGTTGTTCGTCTTTTTGTCATTGCTCATTCGTTCATTTGCTTGCGTTTTGCCCGTGAACCATTTTACTCGTTTTATATTTTTCATGGTAGACACAATTGTTCATCTGTGTGTTCCAAGCGAATGTCGATTTCGGTGTGAATGTGAATGTGAGTGTGAGTGTGTCGATGTTGTTCGAATTGTTCTTGCTCTTGCTCTTGCTCCCGCCTCACCCGAGAGTTGCAAGCGCACATTTCTTGCTGAGCGTCAATGTGTATATATGTTATTTGCAATCGGAAGCTTTTGTAAATTTATCGAAGCGAACGATGCGAATTAAATCAATAAATCTTTTCTTCATATTACAATCATAGTTTTCATTTTCACGCTTCATTTGCACTGTCGACATTTCTCGCTTTCTGTCCCATCCCCGAGATTCGATCGGTGTGTGAGAGTGAGAGCGTGCGTTCGCCTGCTTACTCGCTCCTTAACCTTGTTGCCTCATTGCTTCGGAAATGAGCCTGCTCTCTCGACACTACACAATATACTATATTAATGGAATGCGCGCACAATACCATCTAACCTCGCCTCTCACACTCCCGTTCATTCGATATCCGGATTGCCGTTGTACCGACAGGCAAAAAGAAAATTAATTGAATTTACTTTATTAATTGAATCGAAGAATTTTAATTTGTTCGCTATTGTTGGCGGCAATGGTGTCCCAATTTTCTGTTTTGTTATATGTGTGTACGGTACAAGCGTATTAGCGAAAGTTTGTCAGCCAAGCAAGTGCAAAAGCAATTTATCGCGTTTTAGCTCGCCCAGTCAGCCAGTTCTCTTTCTTTTCTCTTTCTCCCCCTGTCCGCATCTTCCCCTCCACTTGAAATTGTGTGAAAAAAGTTTTTCACCGTTTTTTGATGCCGTTTTATTTTTATTTCATTTATTGGACAGCGGATTTTTTGCATTTGCACTTCCACCACCGCCCGTTGCCTCCGCTGCCGTCACCTCTGTCCTTATACTGCCGTAGCTATTTCATGGTTCATTTTAATGAAATAAACTTATAATTCATATACTGTACGGATAATTGAATTACATAAAGTACTTAACTTGTTATGGGTAATTTTCTTCTTTTTTTTGCTCCGTTCCTCTAGTTTATTTGATGGGTTTTGTACAGCGAATGTGATGGAGATGAAGCGAATGTTAGAGGCAGGGTGATGGAATATTTAGCACGCGGATGCAAAAGGAAGAGTAATAAAATAGAGGTGAAACCAGGTTCTTATTTAACACTAAACGTTGTGCAAAACTTTATTAATATATGCTCACATTCTTGTTGTATGTGATACACTGTGTGTATAGAAAGTGAATGGCAGACACGCTACTTTAATTTTCTCACATTACATGGACTTTTTCGTGCATATAAACTGTATACAGCCATACACACATTCGATCGATGCGCATTTACAATATCATGATTGCTTGCATAATATCATAACTTATCAATAAGCGCCAAAAGCTCTTTTTCGGACTTTGCATTACGTTAATGAAGAGCCAGTCACGGCATAACCACTCACAGTGTGAGACTCTCACATACACACTTCGTTTGGAAGCGTAAAAGTGGAAAATTTTGCAACCTTGCAATAATAATCATAATAATAACATGGCAGGAACCAGTCGTTGATAAACATCAACCCTTAATGCTATTAGTAAACATTTAATAGAAAAGTGAAAATTTTCCATCATACTTATTGTTTGAATAAATACCGTTTTTCATTATGTTTGTGAACAGCGTTTTCACATTTTCCGCACAGATTAAAACTATTTCAATATGACAACAGAAATTAATCTAAAGAATTAAGTTTAATTCCTCCGAAAAATCCATTGTTCGGAGAAGAAGAAAAAAGACAAACAAGCAAATGAATGTAATTCACTTGCAAAAGTATTCTATAAATGTGTATGCAACGAATAAATTTGAATCAATTGTCTGTGCTGGTTGAACAGACAAAAAGATACGTATGAATGATTTAAAGAAGTTTACCACTATCAATCAATCCGAATGAACAGAGCACACATGTACCGATAAAATGGCAGACAAAAAGTGTGTCGATCGCAGACTGAATACCATGTGATGTACAATAATTGCACACGATCCATCTGTAATCAACATGATTTCTCCTGTTATTGACTCGGAGGGAGTCACACACACAGCACAACATGACAAGCAGAATAATCGATGGAAATGCACTTACACACATTTCAGTCGGTATCACCGAACTCAAATCGTTCGGATTAACAACAATGATCGATCAAATTGCAAGTATTTTACACTGAAATCTAATACGTTTGATATTGAACGTGCAGCGATAAGCGAGAGGAATGACAAATAAACAGCATTGAAACATTTGGAGTTGGCACAAAAAAAAGCCATGTGTACCATTTTCAATGAGTACTTAGTGTGATTGTTTAATTGAATTCATTACCATAATTATTTCATCATGTTCAGTGCTTAATTCAACATGATTCTATGATTAAATTTAATTTGCTGCCCGTAAAAATTTTCCGAAAAGAATATTTAATTGAATAAATAAATGTTATTAATCCAATGATGGCACAAAAAATAGCCATCGAATGCGAAATTAACGAGTTTTATGTCATTTTGGCATAGGTCCTGTTCAATTCGCATGTTCTGAGAAATGTTGGCTGCTTCTCTCTCTCTCTCTCTCTCTCTCTCTCTCTCTTTATACCCTAAAAGCATTTTCATCATGACATCACCAAAACCATTTTAATTATACACAGTTATTCTAATGAAATCAACCGAAATGAAATGGAATGAATATCAAACAGAAGCTCAACATTACAACGCAAATAGTTCAATAGAGCAAACCTAGTAGTATTCGATCTTTTCATTTTTGTTGTATGAATAGCAGCTGCGGAATGCTGTTCGAAAACGTAATACGAGTGTGCAAATGAGAGGCAAACACTGACCAACCGGGACAACATTTCACTTGAACCATGCAACTCAAATTATTCATTTCATTCATCAATATATTCAGAGCTATTTATTGCGGTAGCGAAGCCAACCAAGCCAATTCAAAGTATTTGGCCTTTTGTCGTCAAAGAGAATTTAACAGTTTTGCGACCATTTCAATTTCGTGGGATGTCAATACCGTCTTTGTGTTGGCCGAATTTCCGAAAAACTGAAATTATATTCTGAATATCATATCAACATCATTCGGGGCAACATTCCTACCACTTCTCTGTACAATGCACGTACATTTCAAGGAAGCATCCAGTAATAAGTCTACAAATGGAATTGGTTATATATGTACATACCTTCATCCTCGAAGCGTTTGAGCTTCCGTGAGCAAATATTTTATTGGTGTGAGAGAAAATCATGGTTTATCGAAGGAACGTGTAAAATGGTGGATAAATGAGACAACAACACAAAACAACAACAACAGCATCAGCAGCAGCAGTAGCTTTGGAGCTGCCAAATATTCGCAATTCATTGCGCTAAACCGTTTTTCGTTGGATTTTCGGCAGATTTTCCCTCCAATTTGAGGGTGTGTGTACACTTTTTTTTGCTATGGCTAATAAATCATCAGGCCGAAGATTTTGGGTTTCAACGAATAAATAAATCCGTTCGCATGAACAAAGCAAAAACCAAGTAGCTAAACAACAGAGCGAAAAAAATGGTCAGTGGCCAAATCCAACAACCATTCCAATTTTCCCCGGCAAAAGGATTTTTGGCCCCCGTCGCAATCGGTTCAGATGTATTACTAGACGCAACATGATTACGGCCCGAATCTAAAAAACAGACATCAACGAAAGAGCCAAGCCCGTTGAATACGATATATATATATATATATATATATACACGCACAAAGAGGAAGAGAGAGAGAGAGTGTGAGGTACTGTGAAAATAATAAGCAAACGAGAGCGAACAACAAAATAGCATTCGGTATATTTATTGCAATTTATTTTTGCTACACCCTAATGTACATACTGTATTATGTTTTAACAAATGTTTTGTAGACATAAAAATGGCTTCTCATAAGAGAAAACCAATAATAATACCAAAGGGAACAAACAAATTCAGCAAAACATACCATCGAAGTGAATCGAATAACAAAAGAAACAAAGAAGCAAAAAAAAAACCAGCGCGCACACAAGCATTGGAAATAAACTGCGAGAAAAGAGAAAAGAAAATGGGCGTGCGTGTGATAATGGAAATACGGTTCGAGTCAAATGAAGGCACACACAAAAAATCAACGAAATGCTTGCACATAAAAACGCAAACCGTGGAAAGTGAGGGAAAAAATGCCAACGACAAGCAAACTGAAACAAAGAATAGTAACCGAAGGGAAGAAAAAAACACAAGCTGAGCCATACCCAGAGCCGAATTTAGTCGCAACTGAAAAAAGGAATACAAGCATACAAAAACCATTCGGATCGAACGAGCCGAACAGCAGCGACGAGCGCAATAAATGTTTTAAGCTTGACAGCCAAAACAAAAACGCGAAAGAGATATGGTAAAATGAATGAAGAAAAAATAGTAAAAATGCGCGACTCTGTCACGCAGAAAATGAACCTAAATTTTTTATTTGTAAACATTGATTTTGGGGAAGACAAACACTCACACATTTACACACTGAAGCGCGAGCCGGGGATAGATTCCAAACGGTATCGCAATTCGTACTGTAAA